ACTTGTCACAATTTCCAGTTTCATGTTTCCCTTTTGTATTCAGACGTTGATTTTAAGACCAATGTCCGATACACATTCTTAGAATTAAAACACTCTCTTTCCTGTTCCCAAAATTTCTTCTTTGTAAACCCTCAGTGAGTCATAAACCTCACTGAATGTCCGTACTAAACATAATGAAGCGCTTTCCAAATCTCTTATTTTGAGAGATATTTTAAAGAAATGAGGCAATCTCTGCTGCTTATAGATTGATGTCATTAACATGGTATACTTTAATTTTGCTTTCAAAACTTTGAAGTTGCTGAGATAAGCACTAAATGCCTTAACAGGAAAGTTCACCAAAAATTACAACTCATCATTTACCCTCATATCATTTCAAACCTGTATTTTCTTTTGCCTGTGGAACAATTATATTTTGAAGAACTTTGGGAACCAGTCACCAAGACATTTCTCAATATCTTCATTTCCACAGGTCAGACATGCTTGGAATTTCATTATATTCTTTATATCATTATATTCGCCAGCCAGACCACTGTAAGGACCACCCACTGGTCCAGCGACAGACTCCAATGGCGTGGGGTGAAAGATTCTGCAAGTGTCTTGTCTGCTGTTATTAAACAATTAAATCACTTAATTGTTTTTCCAATTTATAATCCGACTCCATTTGTAATCTAATTCTAAATCCAATGTCAATGAAAACTTATTTTATAGTGGATCATAAGATTAGGTGTACATTAACAATTTGGATATTTGATCTCTCTGGGTAACCCTTACTTTCAATTACTAATTCGCCAGGGACACAATGCCACAGAGGGGCAACGAATATGGTACCATTTAATATGAAAAAAAAAAGTCAGCTACAGGTTCACAAATAAACCGCTTTATAAAAATGATAAATTCCACATTTGTCTTTAAACCATATTTTAATAAAAGGGATGAGTCAAAAGTATCAATTTAAATCAGTCATTAGAACTAGATTTATAAAAAAAAATAAGTCACTAAATACTGAATGTCTCAATTATTAAACCAAGATTTACACATACTAAATCTCTCGCATTAGTGTTATGCCCGGTTAAGACATGATTTTAGCCCAATTTTGCAACAATTTACTTGACGTAGGGCGTCGTGGGGATTCGTAAATGACAATGGTCGTCAGGACGCAAGTCTCCATTTCAGCTCATGTAGCGTGTCAGTGAACAACAAAAATATCGTGTAGACAGAACCCGGCATTAACCCATGTTCTTGGTTTTATTTCTAGTAGCTTTATACTTCAGTTCAAGGATTTCCCACTACCTTTGCTGCCAAGCTCCTGGAGAGAGAAAGAGGGGGGAAAAAAAATTCCACACAACAGAAGTCTTGCTAAACAGATTTATTTGGTGACCGTAGGAGACCTCAAATAAAATTCCCAATGGTTAAACTGGCATGTTAGCTGCATGCATAGGTGGTTGGGCAACACTTCGGTCTGGCAGGACATCGATCATGGGAAGTGTTATCAGCACACATTTGGTCCGAGACATGGATCAGGCCTCACTGCATTGATACAGAGTCAGAATTAGTCGGTCCATTTAGCAGCAAACAGCACAAAACACACAAAGCATGAACCACAAGTTTTACTTCTACAGCAAGTTGTATTCCAAGTTTTATTAATTTATTTTGAAACGCAATGCACTTGAAATGGTGCTATGGGCCAAATTCAGGTACTTCATTTAAAAAAATAAATAAATAAACACGTGCATGCTGGGGAACAAAGCATCAATATAACATACCTTCATATGGAGGTGTACATTCACGTCCACATTTAGTGCGGCAGCACTTCTCATCTTTCGGACAGTCAATGTCATTGACACACAACTTTTTACACAAACCTATTCCAAGGAATCTCCTTGGACACACTCCTGGCTTCACTGTTATACAAACACAACAGGGAAACCAGATCACTGAATGACTCATCCACTAATTAATGCATTGGTCAAGAAACCTGACCAACGCATTAATATAACATACCTTTAGATACAGCCATACACTGATGTCCACATCCATTGCTGCAGCATTTCTCATCATTCGGACAGTCACCGTCTTGGGAACACATCTCAACACACGCTCCTAATCCAAGGTTTTTGCTTGGACACACTCCTGGCTTTTCTGTTATACAAACACATGACACAGAAACCAGATCACTGAACGCCTTACTGCATGTGTATATTTAAAAAAAAAAAAAAAACCGAAGCAAGCTGACCTACACACCAATATAACATACCTCTATATGGAGGCATACACTGATGTCCACATCCATTGCTGCAGCACTTCTGGTTGTTTGGACAATCACAGTCATGGGAACACATCTCAGCACACACTCCTATTCTGAGGCTTCTGCTTGGACACACTCCTGGCTTTTCTGTTATACAAACACATGACACAGAAACCAGATCACTGAATGCCTCACTGCATTAAAAAAAAAAAAGCCAATATAAATCCACACTAATAACTTTATATGGAGCCATACACTGACATCCACATCCACTACAGCAGCATTTCTGATTGTTTGGACAGTCACGGTCATACGACCCTACACACACTTCTGACACTACTACTTCAAGATTTTTTTCTAGGACACACTCCTGGCTTTGCTGACATACAAAACACATAATAGAAATGACTGAATTAAAAATATAAAATAAATAAAGTAT